ATTTCAAGAAGAACAAAATGTGCATGCACAAGGACTAATCCACAAACAGAGCAACAGAAAGGGGCAGGGTGTGCACCCACCATCCAGAGGAGCCAGAGACAGCACCTCAGCCCTGGGTGATGATCCAGATCTTTTTTTCTCTACCTCTGTTTTGCTATCTTTTCTTCCTCCTTTCTTTCTTTCTCTTCTTGCAAGTTTGTTTGCTCACGTTGTCCAGAAAGGTTTCATCTGTTCAGAAATTCCTCTTGCCACACTGCTCAGAAATGTTCCAGTTGTCACCACCATAGACTGTTCAGTTTATCATAAAGTTTAAATTGTTGCTGCCTATACAATTAAAGCTTTCTAACTGATCCTTTGGCAGTGTTTTGCCTTAATTTAGCTCAGGGCTATCCCAAATGTTGGCTACCTCAGAGAAGGCAGCCCAGGACTGCCCTCTAGGGATCTGGCAATTGGTTAGTGCAAGATCATCTCTCAGTATAACAAACCCTTTTTTTCCCATTCCTAAATGCAATAACAATTAATGAAAACATAGATAATACAAATGATGAGCTAAATACAAAATCTATAATATTCCTTCTCAAGAATGCAGAAGATAATTTTGGTGGTAACAATATAAAATTCTTTCCACATTAAAACAGCTCTGAAAACCTTTTGCTTTTCTTTCCATTTTGCATATGACAGGTAACTGCTAGGTTTGTCTCTGATGTGCTGACAAGCTCTGCAAAGCTGGAGCAGTCCTTCAAGACAAGGAATGTGGGTAAGTTACTGGGGCTCAGTGATGCACTCCAGATGCTTTGAGCCACCTTTGCTTCTAGAGCCATTCTAGCCAAGAATAATATCACTTTATCACATTTGTGTGTTTATGTGTGAAAAACATTAAGGTGTCCATTTTAAATGTAACTTAGAAAGTGAAGAAGGGCAGAGAAAATAACTGAGCGTATCTAAACAACCAAGAGATACAAGACCTTGATATACAAAGTCCTCTCTTACTTAAACAACAGCTTTGCTTTTTATGGTAGGGTGTGGATCTCATGGCTCTCTACAACTCCCTGACAGGGCTGGAGAGTGGTGGGGGATGTCTCTCCTGCCAGGTTTGCAGGAACCATAACTTAGCCCAAACACCTCTCACTATAAAGTTAGTATCATTCTTCAGGTAATTAGAGATGCTCTTCTCTGAGACGTACCAGCCACAGTAAAATTAACCTTGTTAAAATCAGGACAGAAGGCTCCACAAATGGCTGGGAACAGAAACACAAAAGTATTTCTGGGTTTGGGTAGATTGCTTTTGTTCTTGGTTTGGGGCTTTTTTGTTTGTTTGGAGTGGGGTTTTTTTGTTAGTTTGGTTTGTTTTCTTGCATTTAGGAACAAATTAGAGGGAAA